TCTAGCCTCCTCTGTAAAAGTAGATTAGACCGCTGAGCAATTAATCAATATCTGCGCTTTATTATAGGAGACCATTTTATACTAACCTTTAATTAAGTTGTATAATCGGGTATCCTTTAGTCCTTCTATAACACTGTCGCTAATAGTTTATAGAATCTTATTCTTAATAATAACATTTATTTATATATCCCAATAATGCCTAGGAGAGCTATACTCTATTAAATATATGATAAATAGTATATTATTACAATTATCGGTCACTTTTATCTCTATATCGCTTTACTTAATAACTGATATCATAAACGAACCGCCGGGCTACTCCTACTTTTATACCTTACTTAATAAAAAATTCTAGGTCTTAGTCTTCGAAAATTTGCTTAAGATCAAGACAGCTTTCGAGTGCCATATCACATACTTTCTATATATTCTCCTTAAAGGCTTCGCTACTCACCTATGACTAGTACTAGATAGTATAGTTATTTACAGTAATATCAAGAAGCCTAAGGATAACAATAGAATTAATATAGCTAGGCGTTAAAAGCATGATATCATTACTAGTAGGTATAGATATTAATACTTAAGATTGAGCTAGGAGGATATTAATATTTATTATAGGGTATATCGATCTGATTATAGGATTATCTAGGCTTTTCTTCCATCTTTTAAGCCGCTGGTTCTCCTCAGTATAAAGCTATTTATAAAGACTATTCAGAACGTTATTATAGGTCTCGATTACTCCTCCTTAATCTATATATTTAACGAGAGTTTTTATATAATACAATCGTAATTTATAGTGTTTTCTTCTATAATCCTACTAGCAGTATTACTAATATACCCTATAATTCTATAAGATCGCGCAGACTTTCTATACAAAACCATAGAACTATAAATATAGATCTTTTTCTATATTATAGTAATTAGATAAATTAATAATAAATAGAAACTTGACTAATAACTTAATATTACCAATACAGTTTTATACCTATATAATCGATCAGATCCTCTTTAGGAGGTAAGATAGGGAAGGTAAGGCCAAGTAACCAGCTTATAGTTAAGCAACTAAAATTAACTCCACCTATTACTACATAGATACCTTCGCTTTTAGATATCAGCCTATCTATAGATTATACAAATAAGCTTAATCCTTACTTTTACACTTGATTTCACTTTAAATAAGGGTTTCTTCTCACATTTTTCAGGATACTTAGCTTATTAGTTAGATATATCACAATATATACCGCACCCTTATAATACTTCCACATTCTATATACAGCTATATCCTTCTACCTAATATATCTATACCGCTCTATACCTACTATTACTATAGCCTAGGTTAGCCAGAGGAGTACACTACATTCCCTAATCACCCCCCTTAAGCTCGTGCGCATAGAATCGAATAAAGAGACTAACGCTAACTAGGCCAATAATAGTATTCAAAAGAATCGCCTAGACACTAGTGTAGAAACCTTTATCACTAATATACAGAGTTTCGTTATATCCAATTTCAATTATTAGGAGCCTAATCTCACCGCGTACTACTATAGCAGATCCTAAAAGTATTACAGCTAGCTAGGCCCGTTTCCATATCTTCCCCTTCTCCTAATCGCTTTATTTAATACTTAGGATCTTTTTCTTAACTTTTAGTTTCCCCTATGTTTTATACTCTTCGTATGACTCTTTATAGGATTTTACCCCTAAAGTAAGTTACTATACAGGTACCTAGATTCTAACGATAAACTATTTATTATTTTAGTTCGATTACTTAGGAACAACTTTTAAATATATTAGTATACCTTTATAAACGTTATCAGGAGGGTAAAAACAATTCCTTTCTAAATACATTCCTTGGTCCATAGCTCTAAAAACGGAATCGCAAATCTAATACTTAAGAAGAACAATAGTTCCATTAAATACTACTAGGGCCCTAACAAGTATTTCTTAAAGGTATAAATAAAAGTAGGGCTTTTATCTACCTTACGCTCACCCTCCTCGCGGCTTAGAATAACAAATGGTCCCTTAGGGTACTTACTCAGTATATATATAAGAAATATACCCACTAGGAAGGTACCAAATAAGACAGATATACCAGTAAAGCTAGCGATAGTTATAAAAGCCGAAAGAATAAGGGTTATAAGGATAATATTAGAGATATAGTCGTAGCGCATAAAGCGATATTCAATGAACTTTCGGAAAAATGGCACAAAGACCCATTTTGTAACAATAGGTATTACAGCAGCTATACCTATCGATACCACTATTAGACACCTAATAAGCCATCCCAAATTAACACTATCGCCACTTCCTAAAAGTTTGCCTAAATCTCTAATTATACTGTAGATAGTTAGCTTAACAAGTTTATTATACCTTATCTCATTTCAGATAAGTATCATACCTTAATATAACAAGTCCTATAATATTATTAATAACAGCCGCGCTTACTAAAACTGACCCTACTCGAGTCTCAGCAAGGTTAACTAAATAGGACATAGAGCTGATCACAGTAAAGGTAGTCCCTAAATATTTTTTAGTAATAGTTAAACTAACGCTTCTAGGGGGATAGTTTACCAAGTAAAGTAGTAGAAAGAGATATACCAATAATAAAGGTCTCAACTATACCTAGTCTATATTAACTGATAACTAAAAATTTAGGGTAAATAAAACCAACTATATCTAAAACCAAGAAAGAGCAAAAGGTATGAAATACTAATAGGAAATAAAACCCTAGTTACAGCGCTAATCATACTCAAAGTAAAGTTCTACTTAAGTAAGTCTACACAGGTACCAAGACCGCCTAGAATAAATGACATCAGTGTCCTAAGAAGCCAAGAAGCCAAGTAGCGAAGCAGCTATAATAAAAATTTTCACTTACCTTCGAAAATAATCAAAATCAGCCCAATATATCCTAGGCTAACAAAAGTCTCTTACTAGTGATATTAAAGAATATTAGCTAAGGGTACTCTGTAGATAATACCGATAACGATTTAACCTATAATTCCAGCCTAGATTGCGGTCGCGGAGACCTACCTTATAAGGGAAAGGAAGAAGAAGAAAGAAACGAGAATAAGGATTTTAATAACTGTAAATATAGATTAGTGAGGAAATGAGCATAGATCAATCGGCATATAATTAGGTACATACTTCCTGGTTCGTGGTATAGGAGGAAACCACCGGCTATACTCGAGTTTCGTCTTTAGAGTAAGATTTAATAAGATTAAATAAGAAAATTGGAGAAGGGCTGTTAGAAGTAAACTAAGGACCTCCTCCTACGTGACACAAATTCGTGTCCACCTGTTCCCACGGTTCCATCTGACGCCGACCTTTTGCCCCAATCTTGTCCTAGTCCGCTCGGTCATAGGCCTTTCTTATTTTGGATGTGGGGTTACGTGGGGCCGCGAGGTTCTATTCTGAATAGGTTGCCCGGTGATCTGACCCGTAGTTCTATAATTTGATGAGGGGGTTAGGCTTTTCGGTTACTGTTTGATCGATTGTGGACGTCCACCTGGCTAAGGGACCAATATGTTACTGTTCCTCGTGGGCCATAGGCTTCTAAGAAACCGAGCAGCTCACTCGCGTCCTCTGTGAAGCGAGGCTAAATGTGGTTACCGCCCTATTTTGGTTGGTAGCGGTTGAAGTCTCCGGTTGTCCTTCTTTCATCCCGGATGGTGGATTGGATTGCGCCCCGGGCAGTTGTCAGCGCTGATCCTGTTGATGCCTCGTGCGGGGTGTGTAGTGGCACTTGTTGGCGGTAGACTGATCAGAGGAGAATCAGAGAGTAGCTGAAGCGCTGGCTAACAATTAACGATCTTTTCATGGCGGAGTGGACTCCGGGGAAACGATTCGGACTTTTGATTTTCCTCGCGTTGCTCATAAAGATGAACAATCACATTATGTATACCTGTAGTTACCGACTGTACCTATGCGAAAGAGTTCGGAGGTATAGCTGATTTCGAAAAGTACTGTACCTATGCGTCCTATGGGACTGCCCTGATCTGCGGGAGTTGCGGCGGGAATTACGGGAGAAAGTCGGCGACGCGTTTAATAACGTGTCGAGCTTGCTAGGGGGTTCTCAAGAAGAAAGGAGAGGTCAGATATATCATGCCTCGCGAGCCAAGACGGTGGATGCTGTATTGGACTTCGCGGAGGCATCACAAAGATTCCGCAGTCGCGCGCCACGAGGGCAGCTTGACAACGTGAACGGCAATTAGGCCACGAAAGGCCTTGGCGAGGCTCTAAGTTCGTTCCAGGAAGTGGTACACTTCGCTTGTAGGTACAAGGATATATAGTCGTGATAATTCCTATGCACGCTCTTGGTCGCTCCTAGGAATCAGGCTTATCGTTCCTAGAGGACTTATAGCTCCCAGGAGTGGGTGGTATCGCTCCCGGGAACGAGGAGGGGGTTTTCCGAGCTTTAGTGCGTTAAGTAAGATCGGTGCCGGTGGATCACGAATCCCGGGAGCATGAGGGCTTCCTGTGAGGGTCTCACGTATACGTAGATGAGGACTGTGTTTCGTAAATGGATAATCAATATTAAGAAAAGCTATAGTCGACTCTAGATACAAGACGTAGCGCGAGGAAGCAAAAGAAAGGTAGCTTCCTCGCGTTCAGGGGAACCCATATACACCATGTGGGTCCCGCGCAGATCATTTCTCCATGCTTCATGTATATCTCTGACACTTCCCGGAATTAACAAATAATTCTTGGAATGTATGAACTTCATTGGATCGCACATCTTGAAGATTAATCTATTAGGAGTGAAGGCTCCCGAGTTGACACAAGGCCAAGTACTGGCAATGGATTTACTCCGCCATGGAAAGAGGAAAGTATGCTTTCTTGGATTAAGCCAATTTAGGAAATGTTACACTTCCGAACTTGGAAGGACTTAAAGTGAACTGTGAGAGCAGAGAGCTCTAGACTAGAAAAGGAGGTTCTAGTTGAAAAGAGATTCTGGAAAAAGTGGATTGCAGAGAGCGATTGCTCTATCGATATTTCTCAACCCATTTCTACTTTTCACTCAGAACAATGCCTGAGCTGTGTTTCCCAAGCATGTAGCTCTTCCAACCCGCCTTTTCTAGATCGATATCTGCGTCTCCAGACATAAACTTCATGAAAACACCATGTGTTACAACCACGATATGTTTCCTAGGTTCATTGTTCAATTGATCGGATATTTCTGCGACACGAGATCTCACTCTCTTCGCCCGCTCCTTTACTGCCTCATCTTCAGGGGCATAAATTCCCTCCTTCAATTGCCAGCCTTCCGGTAAATCTTTGACGCCTAGTCCCGGAAAAGCCTTCACTAGGGCCGGACATGTGGATCCAGTATCACAGGGAAGCGCACTTCGTTCCTGCAAATCTGGATCCAAGATAAGGGTCGCACCATTTTCGATACCATGGCCAGAGTCTAGGTCGAAATAGCGTTTATCGAGGACGTGTGGGAAAGCAGTGAGCGTGGTTTGGATGGCACGCCGCAGTGGAGAAGTGAGGATTATGCCCACCTGTGGAGCATGAGGAAACGTTTGGGTGAGCCGTGAGGCTTGTTCAAAGCCAAGAGGTGTTAGGCCAGGGTCAAGTTGGGAGAAGTCTTTGGAAACATTGTGGGTAGATTCCGCGTGACGGACAAGATGGACTTCCGAAGTCATAGCTAGAGAACTTGGAATTAGTAGTGATCTGTTTGCAAATCCTCCCTTTATAATAGTTATAGCAACTTAATGAAACAATTTCTAGAGTATATTGCGTGATTCTTCCTCGTTCCTTGAGTGGTCATTATTATAACCATAAAAAGTATATCCGTATCTCGATGTTCTAGGCTAGAGATATTAGTAACTGCCGGTGTAGGTCCGAAGTCTATCTTAAGGCCCACTTCATTACTTCGATAATAGCGTCTCGTAAATCTAAAGGGGTTGGTAGTTATAGTAGCTACTTAGGACATGAATCCATCCTTTCTTTCTGCTTCTCCTATGACAGTCATTTAAAAGTAGTGCCAGTACATTGGTCTAAGGGTTGAAGCTGCTACGTGACATAAAGCCACGGCTATTTATCGGCTGAAAATCGGGGGAGTCTATCCCGACGGATCCATCCCTCTTTATTAGTATATTGAAGAAAATGGTAGTTTCACAAATTGACCCGTCGCTTTGCACCATATCACACATAGGCTGAATAACGTTGGCTACCAGAATATGCTATCGTCCCACTACTCCATACCAGCATAACCCTAAGATAGCACCCATTACAATCGCCACGGGTGGGGCAACATTGAACCATGCGCTCCCCGAATATGTTACTGCCGCAACAACCACCCACCATGGTTCCTTACCCAGACTCTGTCCGTCGCTTCTTTCAGAAGTCAGGTATCCAATCTCCCACAACCGGTATACAGCTGTATATACTAGCCCAACTGCAGTGGCATTCACTCCTCTGAGGAAGTCGACCACATACTTCTTCTTCCGCAACACGCGCCAGAAGCTTTGGATTGCAACGGCCAGCGTGATTCCCGGAAGGAAGATTCCTAAACCGCCGAGGAACGCACCGAAGGCGGTCGGGAATTGCGAGCGCTGTAGTGCTAGTGCTCCCAAAAAGACAGCGAAGTTGAAGTTAGGACCGGGGAAGGCTTGAATAATGGCAAGGCCGATCAGGAAGTCTCTACTAGAGACCCACCCGGGATCGACGACATAGGAGCGTAAGAGGGGAATGACGACAGGACCTCCACCAAAGATAACAGTGCCGGCAAGGTACATATTGGCGAAGAGGTCTAGGACCAATGGGGGTGTGGTGATCTGGCCTCTGGCAACAAGAATTGCGATGAAGGACGCTAACTATATTAGTGTTGACGCTTAGGGATCTTGTCAGAATGGGGTGCGCACCGAAAAAGAGAAACATAATCAGAAGTCCAATCCGAATCCGAATAATGTGCTGTTGTGTGTCAGCTTCAACGGACGGCATTGGGCTTGTAGTATCAACTGTGCTCTGTGGTAGTTCCTCGACTCTAGGATCCGTCCTTCGCGATCGTGTCGTCTCACTCCTTTGGACTCTATTCTCTCCCAGAGTTGTATCATCCATGGCTATGGAGTTCCCATTTGCCTTATACGGTTCCTGGGGACGATGATGTCTGTCCTTCCACGCGAGTTTTGCTCTCAAAAATTGCTGATACAACCATCCATCCCAGATGCTGGTGAGGAAACCACCGATAACCATCAGCACGGGAAAATACCAGAGTGCATTGTAACAGAGACCAGCACATGCGCCAAAGATCACGAGGATACGGGACAGTTTATCGCGAATAGCTTTTTCGGACAACTGTACAGCCGCAAGTGCAACGATACCCACTGTAGAGGCATTGAGGCCAGAAAGTAAGGAGTAGGCAGGTTCGGGAAGAGTTTCACTCATGTTTTGCACCCCAAGTGAGAGGGCATACATGCCAACTGCGCCAGGAAGACTGAAACCGTTAGTTGAAGTCTACAGATGGCGGGCATTGCAGCATAAGGGTATGAATTAATCACCTCCAAAGTAGAAACACAAGCATGGCAGGAATAAATCCTGCGTGTAATAGGGCTAGGCAAAAAACCATCTTCGTGCTACCGGGACCCGGAAGACCCTGACAGATAGCAAAGAGTTCCTGATACTATGAAATTTGTTAGGAGGCCCTATGACATCGGGACACGCCAACTTGAAGATAAGGGAGATTCATACAGTCTGTTCATCTACCCATTTTTCCTTGTCGCCCTTTCCCTCCACGAACCTGCTGTGTAGAATCTGGAAGTGTACTGGTGGTCCTCCGAAGGCTGTAAAGCCTAGATCCCATGTACGCAGAAAAACGTCCAACAGACGGCTCGGCAGGGGCTTTCCCGATCCCCCATTTTCACTTGAAACCCGGCTTCCCCGTTTGTGATTCAGACGAGAGAGGGAAGAGAGGCCTCGGGAAAAGGGGGCGAGGAGTGGCATACTGCTCCTTAACAGCTGCGAAGATAGATCGCTCAAGCACAAATAGTAAGATAGACAAGGAGGATGAGACTCTCAAACGTGAGCAGTGCTCCTATAAACCATCGCCGTGCGTTCTAGGTCAAATACCTATGTAGATACGCGGGATCCATGAATGGAATGGATGGGACGTCAGGGAGCCAAGATGTTTAGGTAAGCTCCAGCATTGCACTAAAGTCAAAACAAACAACCAATCAAAGACAGGCAATGAAGCACGTGCTGTACCAAAATATGGGTCTAGAAACCCTATTCGGAAGGGGAATGTCACTGCATGGCGTTTACTTGACGGAGGCGATGCCAAGCAATGGAAAGAGCTTTCTTGGTAGTCATCCGAGTTAGCGGAGTCAAAATCAAGTTAAAGCGTCTCTGAATGTGGCAAGTTGATATGTTTATCATTTGTTTATGCAGCCTGGTCACCAACTCTTGGCAAGTCCCACAGGGTAGGCCCCTGGGGTGGCCCCTGCCCTAACAGGTATAATTAGGAATACAAATTTTAGAACGCGGGTAAAAAGAGCAGGCAACAGAAAGAAGAGCTGATTAACTGGGCAAAAATATGGTGCGAAGACACAGTTTGAAGAGAGGCAGGATGTTGGTGAACGATAAAATGTAACGTTATTTGGGAAATGACGAAGCATGCATCTTAACAATGCGTTCTACGTTATCGGTAGAATAAACAAATATAGACACCTAGTGGCAAGTTACAAGTGGTTAAGCCAACAAGTACAAGGATTGTTTGGATATGATGCCTGGGGAATCTGGCATAAAAGTGAGCATGCCATAGGCCCACAGGTTTTTTCTAGGTAGGTGGGATGAAATAATTCTTGCAACAGAGTTGGGGGGTGCCTGAGTATTAGGAAATTCACTTGGTTTAGAGTGAAGAGTGTTCCCTAGCTAAGCATACTCAATAAATACCTCCTTCTTTCACTACGTCGACTCGTCTTCCAGTACTCCTCCTTCAGTTATAATGATCACGAGCACCGGTCGCCTAACCGAGTAGACCGAGAAGCATGTGGCTACAGTGCTTATTCGATCAAGATCCGGATCTTGAAGGCCGAACATGAGCTATGCCGTTACACCACAACGGTAGTTGGCGGCAAAGTACCACATGACCGTTGAGATCGCGGAATCATGGTATATCTTGGGATTGATATTGTCCCGTGATCTTTTGATTCGTGAGATTATCATCGTGGACGAATCGTAGTGTTTCTTATGATACAACTGGTCTGACGGGGGCTTGATTCATGGGAAGACCCTTAGAGTTGCTGAAGGATCGTGCCATTTCTTACGACAGCGATGGCCGTATCTTTTTGCGGTTCGCAAGAGAGTCAGAACTCGCGGAAACCGTGGTGTTCTCTAGGATCTGCCTTTTCGTGTAGGTTCCCCCGAAGGGTCTAAGATTATAAAACCTGTGGTTTCTCCTATGATAGAGATAATCAGAGGACCCCCGCCTTCGGGAGAGAATCAGAGTTCGCGGAAACCGTAGTTTTTCTTACGACAAAGAGAATCAGACGATCTTTTGGTTTATGAGACATAAGGGGCGCGTCAACCGCCTAATAAATTGGTTCATTATTGTGCGGCCCATGCATGGCCGGTTTTTATAGAATCACCCGAGCCACGACGAAAACCATGACCTTTCCGCAACCTCTGTACGATACTCCGTACTACGGAGTCCGTAGTGGTGTTATGCACGTGACTTTTCTGACTTGTAGATTGATTGGTTATTGATGGCGAGTTTGTGGCATTTAGCCTCGCTTCTTTAGACAGTTGGGAGAAAACAAGCCAGGCCACGGATCCTTTCTCCATAGAACGTGATACTGTAGCCAACGATGTAGAAAAATGAATCTGACAAATGAATACAATCAGTTCGAGGGATACAGTATAAATTTCCCGCGTAAAGCTAATGGATCAGAGGAACCAATGTATGATTGGGGGGATTGGGTACTCTGGTATTCCTTTCTCCACCTTGGAGTAACATGGCTGACGTCACTTCTCCTTGTGACTTCATAAGTTCGTGCTTGGTGCAGCGACCTCTCCGCTCGCATCCTAGGGGACTAAATCAACTCATAGAAGCTTCTGGAGCATTGGCTGCCATAGTCGCAGCTGTATAGGCCATTTTCGATCATGTACAACTGGAAGCAACCCAATAAGGACTTTGTTGCTTTAGGGTGGGGAAAGGAGTAACTAAAAGCCAATTATATTTCTGCTACAATGCCATTATTTCATTGGTCAGTTGTTACTCCTTTCTCCACCTTGGGGTAACTGACTCTCCAGTCGTCGAAAAAAGAGCGGGGCCGCAGAAAAAAATATCCAGCTTAACACAATACTTTTTCCCTCTTCTCGTATTTGGTCAGGCCATGCCATGCAGATGGATACCCCGGTTGAAAGGGCCATCAAGTATAATGCACAAAACCGGACCAGTGGGTATAGTACCCACTGGTCCGTTTCAGTCAAGAAGTTTGCGGCGTTTGATCGGAGAGTCCTGGCTTCCTCTAGTCTTGCTGGACTCTCTAATCTTGCTGGACTCTCTAGCCTTGCTGGTCTCTTTAGTCATGCTGGTCTCTCTAGTCTAGCCGGAGGTCTAGTCTTGCTGGACTCCCTAGTACCTTGCTTGAAATATCATTTGTGAAAATAAAAAATAAAATAAAAAGAAGGCCCTAAAGGCCAGAACCTAAGATAGCTACGCTATGCAGTTAACCGAATTTTCCAAAGGAGCATTCATTATTTACTGTTGGCCCTCAAAATCAGAAATTCCCTGTTATAAACAGACCTCGACTTAATGCGTTCCTCGGACACCATTAATTGGTTGGAACGAACTATTGGAACGAACTAAGCTCCCTCCCTTCCGTGCTAGGCTTCAAAATGGGCGTGGCAATAAATTTGGTAGGCACATTTTACGTTCATCACCTACTGCAGTGACCGTTTCAGAGTTTTGCTGGTCATGAACTCGAATACCCGCAGTTTCTGGACCGCGGATTCCTCGATCGTCCCTGGTCGTGGTTTTCAACGCAAATTCGTTGCCTGCTGTGAACTCATCACTCTGCCGGGGGCCGTTTCAGGTATTCGTTGACCATGAACTCTAAAGACCACGGTTCTGGAGCGCAGCACTCCTTTTCAACGCGAAAACCCATGAACATGAAGAGAGCCGTGTTGTACCTGTTTGTAGTCTTAAGAATCCCTGAGAGCCATTCGTCTATACCTGCGACTATTTAGTGCCCTGTTTCCTTGTCTTTTCCAACAGTGACTCGTCTCTTCATATGGCTTCCGCTCCTCCCACCCATGTGTTTTTTCCTTAAAAAGAAAAATAGGTGATGAAAAGGAATCAAAAGGATGAAAAGAAAGGCCGCGGTAATTATCATTTTGAGCGACACGGTTCTTGGTGTCGCACCAACACCTCGCGTTTCACGTTACGGAACCTACTCCAGTAAGTCCCTACTCTCCAGTAAGTCCTTACTCTCATTCAGCTTCAAAGTTACATATCTCTCGCCCAGAGACAACCTAGGATAATCTTCATCCTAGGAAATACCACACTTTTGTGGTTTCTTAAGAAATTCTCTATCCTAAGATCATCTGTATCCTACTAAATACCACACTTTTGGAAAACCGTGGTCTGCCTCAGGAAACAGATTGTCTGGAGAAATGAATTAGCCTGGGATAACAGAACCAAAAAAAACCGTGGTCTATCTCAGGAAACGGCTTGTCTGGAGAAACTAGTTGGCCTGGGATATTGAAAAGACAGGAAAACCGTGGTATCAAAGTTTGGCCGCGATCTTGTGGTTTCTTAAGAAAATTTCTATCCTAAGATCATCTGCATCCTACGGAATACCACACTTTTGTGATTCATTGAGAAGTTGTGTACAGACGCACTCGAAATCAGTTCACTGATTTGTTCTCTTTGATTGCTTTTCAAATTCTATTTTTATTGACGCTAGGCCTAATGTAGCCAAAGAAAGGTTCATTGCCCTTTTCCTATTCGACAGTCACGGGTCGGCTAGGCCAGATGTAGGCCGAAGTGGATCTGGCCAAGATTTAAGAAGAATCAAATAGAAAAAAAAAAAAAAAAGATGAAACTGATTTCGAGCGGACCTGTATCTTCAGCATCCTGTAGCAACCCGGATCCACCCTGTACCAGCAGAAGTGAGAAACAGAGTTAGGGATACTAAGGCGTGGTTAACATTACCTTCAATATACATTACTTGTGGTTGTGTGCCGAGCGGGAGCTAACCGCGTACCGATGGTGGACCCACATACGGGAGGGCCCGAACCCCCTCCCACAAACACCGGAGAAAACCCCACCAGCTTCTCAGTCGAGGACTTCCAGCCTCGCGTACCGATCGAGCCGCTTCCTGAGTCTCGCAAAAGAACACGGAGCGATGGTGCCTTCACACCAGTGGAAAGTACAGGCCGGGTTACCACCAGGGAAGTGTGGAAGCTCATCGACAGCCTGAAGTTAATCATCCACCACCAAACTGCACTCATCGAATCCACTAAGACCGAGATCGAGGAGGTCAAACACGACCAGAATGTCCTTCGTGACCAGAATGAGAAGCTCTACGAGGAAATCAGAGCTATGCGAGCTCAAATCGACGCACTCCCACCAGCACCTGCGTCCAGAACATGGGCAACAGTTGCGGCCAGCAGCAACGTTGCCCCTCCTCAACAAACCGACTCGCGGCCAGACAGGGACCTGAACTGCGTTCGTATTAACTATATTAAACTTAATAATCTACTTAGAAGATATAGATACTATTTAAAGTAGGTAATTATAATAATAAAGGTTAAAGCGATTTAAAGTTTTATAAATAATATTATTAAGTTATAATACCCTAATATAGTCTAGCTAATTAAGTAGGAGAATATATTCTTAGTAAGTAATAGTATCTAGTCTTAATTTAATAAGACTATATATTAGGAAATTATTAAAAAAGGTACTAAGCTCCTTAATCTAAAGGATTTACTAATATCTAAAGGCTCTCTTAATAAATTTATAATAGCTAAGAAAGTCACTACTGAGCGCTTTATATAGGAAGTAGGTTATAGACTTAGTCTTACTAATTAATAGTAGTACTATCTTTTTTAGAAATAACTGTTTAAGATATAGAACGTAGGTATTAATAAAATTCTCTTATATTATATAAAGGAATTTAACCGCTTCTATAAAAGCTACTTATTAGAATCTAGGGCTTCTTTAGTAGAGATAGTCTAGAATTAGGAAGAAAGATATACCTTCTATATTAAATAGTTAGAAGAATATATAGCTAAGGAAAGTAAGGGTAATTTTATAGGAAGACTATAGCTAAGCTAGCTACTTATAGTAGATAGACTTAGTATTTCTAAAAATATATAGAATAATACTATTAACCTATAGTCTTCTAATATAGAGGAAACTATATTCTAATTAAGTAGATTATATAAGTTATTAGCTATTATACTTAGTAGGTTCTTTAACTTATAGCTAAAGGTAGAAATAATATAGAATAAGTCTATTTTTATTACTCTTTAACCTAAAGGTAATATCTTTCTTATAGTTTACCCCCTTATTTTAGTCTAGGAAGGAGATACCCTTAGGTTATTTACTAGAGTGATTCGGTATTCTTTAGAATATAGTATTATCTATAGTATACCTAGCCCTAAAGAAAACCTTTAGCTAGACTACTCTATAGTAACTAAGGTACTAAACCTTATAAAGGTATTAGCTCCTAGAGGTAACTTTAATATTTATCTTTAGTAGAAGCTTATTAATAGATAGAATAAAGGGTATCTTATATAGAAGGTCTCAGTTATTACTCTTTAGGTAATTTAACTATTTAAAGAAATTATTTATACTATTCCTTAAAAAGTATAATATTTCCTATACTAATCGCTAACTTATATAAAGTATAGTTATATAAAAAGCTAAAGTTCCTAATTCTTATTTTTTATTTATATCTAGTATCTAGTTTAGTATATTCTAAAATACTATTTACTAGTATTATCTATTATTATAGAGTAAAGGTATATATATTTAGCAGCTGTTATAGTTATACTAGTTAGTATAAAGGGTATCTAAAATTTAGATTACTAAGGATACTTTATATTAGCTTAGATATAAGACTTTTATATATCTTAAGGCTAAGTTATACTAATAAGTTAATAGATAGTAGGGGTAAGGAGGGGTATATTTTATAAGAGAGGTAGATATATATTATCCTAATTGATATTATATAGTCTATCTAGTAGTTTAAATAAGTTCTATCTATTAGGTAAGTAAATCTTTATATCTATTAAGAGCTATCTCTTAAATAGACTAATTATTAGATATAAGTACTTTAGAACTACTACTATAGATAACTATAACAATTATTATCCTTACTTTTAGAGAATATACTATAAAATAAGTAGGAAAAGAGAAGGAGAAGGGGATTAGAGATATATAAACTAAGGGTTATAAAATGATTTAACTAGGGCCCTACTAAGTTAGATTAGATATAAAGAATAATAGCTATTATAATATATTAATAAAGTATATACTATAGTTATACTTTAATAGAGTAACTATAACTTAGTAGATTAAATATTTACTTTTTTTTTTATACTTATAAGACTATTTTAAACTATAGCTAATTAGGCTAAGTATAGATTTATATTTTAGTCTACTTTAGAAGTTAACTTTTATTATAAAGGGTTAGGGTAACTAAAATATATACCCTATACTTCTAATAAAGTATAAGAGACTATATACTATAAGTATAGTTTAAATATATAATTAATTAGATTCTTCGTAGATACTATAAAAAAACTATCTCTAATAATATAGCTTAATTCCTATATTATACCGGCCTTTTTATAGTTAATATTACTTAGAATAAACTTAGTTTATAATAAAGTCTATTAGAGTAAGTTATATTAGATATAGGTCCTTACTATTCTAATAATAATATATTTATAGATTATTTATATTTAAATAAGAAACTCTAAGTAGAGTATATAGAAATACTAACTACTTTTAGCTTATTATATCCTATATTAGTCCCTCTTATTTATAGTTAATAATAAAGTTAGACTATTATAGCTTTTTACTATAAAATCACTTAAAGAAAGATTTTAGAAACCTCTATTACTCTATATCTTTAAATAAACTAGTAAGTAACTAAAGTAATTATTTATAGATTTAAAAATAAGTAGTACTATAAAAGGTAATTTAGGAAATTAGTTAAGCTAAAGTCTGGCTAATATAATATAATCGGCTTCTCTTATACTATTATTTAGAGTATTACTAGTCTAAATCAGGTTACTAGAGTAATAAAGATATTTTTAGGGGCCTATAATAAACTTATATATTACTTTATAAGGGTTAATATAAATAAATACTATTACTACTACTATAATAAACTTAATAGTTAATATAGTAATAGCTATTAAATAAATATTATATAATTAGAATAAAATAAGTATAAATAAGATATATAAGTAAAAAATCCCTAATCTCTATTTATTACTTACTTTATAATTACTAATAATAGTAGGGTAAAACTCTATAGATAAGTATAAGGATTACTTTCCTAACTAAATTATAAAGGCTATAGCTATCTTTTATCTAAAAAAGAGGTACTATTTAGTTACTTATTATTATAAGTAATAGACTTCTACCTAGAGTAGGTTAATAATCTCTAGGGAATAACTAAGCTAGTTAATATTTAACTAGCTTTATATTCTACTACTATATAAAGCTTCTATAAACTTTATAACTAGGTTATCTAAGTTAATAGGTTATAATTACTATCTTTTATTAGTAAGATATATAGGAATATAGTTAGAATATTTATATCTTAAGTAACCTAGTTTTAGTAATTTAGGACTATATTATCTCCTAGGAAGGGAAAAGGCTCCTAATTATTATCTTTAAGATTAATTAGATTAAACTCTATCTTATATCTCTATTAAGTATATTAGACTAGAAGCTAAAAGTTAGCCGCTTTTTATATAATCCTCTCTATACTTATATAGATTAAATTATACTAAGTTTCTAAGAGTATTTTCTATAGATATAATAATATATTATAGACTACTATCTAAACCCTTATTTAAAGAAGACTCTCTTTAGTATTAAGACTAAGTAAGAGAAGAATATATTAGTAAAAACTTTCCTTCTTAGTATTATTCTTAATAAGATAATTAAGGATTTTATAGATTTTAGAATCTTTAGATAAAATATAATTAGGCTAAAAGATATTTTTATAAATTTCCCTTAAAAGAATGGCTAGGGTTATAGCTAGGTATATCCCTTTAGCTTTAGGGGAGTTTAAGGGTATTATAGGGATATATTACTAAGAAAACCTAGTATTCTCTTTTTAAAGCCTTTCCTAGATAGATATATCCTTTAGAATAGATAAATAAGTAGATAAATTATAGAAGGGATTAGATATATATATACCTTTAAGATCTTTTCTATAAGATCCTCCTTTAAGATAGTAGTTATCTTACTTAGAGTAAAAATCTAAAGATCTAAAAAGTTTATTAAACTAGGTAAAATATATTAATATATAAATATTGCTAAATACCTATATATAACTTATATCGAGCTTTTATTAAGCTCTAATTATAGAATAGTAAAGCTTTCGATATTCTAGAGTTAGCCTTAGCTTATTTATAATTCTTTATTTAGTATAGCTTTCTTGGCTTTTAACTCTTCTATTTTCTACTATATTAATAAAAGTATTATTTTAAGACTTAATCTAATAGTCTTTATTTTATTAATAATCTTATCTTTCTCTTTTAAATTCTATTAAAGTATACTAATATCCTTAACTAATTAAGAAACTTTACTAAACTCTAATAAGTAAGATAACTTAAGACTATCTATTTACTACTAGAACTCTTATACTTACTTAGAGTATTCGGTAAAAGATTAGTCCTTTTATTTAACTAATATATAAAGTAAATTAACTTAACTAAGAGCTTCTTTTTACTTTACCTTTTCTCTCTTATTAGCTATAAATATCTCCTTAATAGCGACTTACTTTCTCTCCTTTAAATCGAGGATCTTATTTTAGGCTTTCTTTAGTTCTTTATTTCTAGTATAAACTTATTTATACTAATAGCTGAATTCTTTAATTATAACTAATATAGCTTAGGACTTAGGGCTTAATACTAATATACTAACCTATTTAAGAAAGCTTTAAAGGCTATTACTATTAAAGGTCGAAGGTATAATATACTAGCTTATACTTAAATAGCTTTAAATACTAGAAGAAGATATAATAAAAAGACTTTATTAGGCTATAAGTATTTATAGGTTTACTAATATATAAAACGAATTTTTAGTCTAATAAAAGGGTCTTCTATATTTATAAGTTTCTAAAAGAGCTATAAAGAGATACTATATAGCTATTTTATAGATATTTAGATTATATCTAGAGATTGCAATTAAGTACTATATATAAATAGGTACTTTCTAAATATATAAAGGGAGGTTTATAAGCCCTATTATTATAAGTATAATAGAAGTAATACTAGTTTATATATATAAAAGTAGGGCTAGAATATAATATATTCTTAACCCTATAGGCTTAATATACGCGAGTAATTGTATATATATTTTTTATACCTATATATAGCTATATATAGCCTAGATTATAGTTACCTTATTAGAATAAGTCTAATTTTACTATAAACTAGGATAGTTAGAGTATAGAGTAAAGATTTATAGTACTAGTATATATAACTTAGGAGAAATAAGTTTAAGTTCTCTATTCTTACCTAAAGTCTTAGAATAGAGCGGAGGTACTAGTAAGTAGGTTAAAATAATTTTTAGTCAGTAAGTTAGGGATATAAATAGATTATAAAATATATAGACCTATACTTTAGGTAGGGAAGGGGCCCTCAGTTTACTACTATACTTTAACTACTACTTTATATACCCTCTTAACTAGTAGGTAAACTTACAGCTAGTTATTAAATTATAAGTTACTTAGAAATATAAGATAGAAAGAAAATTCTTAGGGGAAAAAAAAATCAATTCGTTTATATCCTATTTGAATTATATAATGCTTGACCTAGACTTAGATCCTGAGTAGATAACTATATATAAATTCTTAGGCTAATAAATATAGTTAAAAGAAACCTAAACGGCTATATAAATAATATGATTTAGATAGCTTGCTTAATCGAATAAGAATAAGGTCTATAGTAGTAAGAACTAAGGGTTAATAGTAAGTAAACTTATAGCTATTAATTAAACAATCGGTTATCTTAGGAAAAATGTATTCCTTTCAAACAACCGAAAGTATTTATTAAATATCATTAGGTAGATAGCAGTCTCTACTCTAAATCAGCACATTTCCCCTAATACCTAGGCAACCCCTAAGGTCTAGAGCAAAAAATTAATTTCACTTAGGTTAGAGATATCCTATATAAGTCTAGTAATAAGCCTATTTCTGCCATATTTTCTAGGCTTTATATACCTTATCGATTTATAGTAGTTAGTCCTCGAACCTTTACGAATACTTCTCATTCATTTATATACAGGCTTTTCTATACTATACCTCTAGAAGCTACTTTAACTATACTATACTCAAATTATATATACTTTAAGCTGACTATATAGGCTATCTACTTTTCCCTATCAGGCCTACGAGTAGTTATAAATAACTTATATATAAGAATATACCGTAAACTCTTAAGTATA